GCTTCCCGAGGCCTTGCCAGAAGCAGATGCCAGTGCCACCCAGAACTGAGAGCCAAATAAACCTCTTTTCTTCATGAATGTCCCAGCCTCAGATGTCTCTTTATAGCAACACAAAACAGGTTAATACACCCACCATAACATTATCCCAAGTTCTCCATTCACTTCAAACCTCCCTACCCATATCTGCCTCCACTCTGAAAAGATGACCTCAGCCAGGTGCGATGGCTCATGCCTATAATCCCAGCACTTGAGGAGGCCAAGGTGAGAAGATTGCCTGAGCCTAGCAGTTTGAAACCAGCCTGGGCAACATGGCGAGTATCATCTCTACAATAAATCAAAAAATTAGCTGGGCCTGGTGGTACACACCTGTAGTCCCAGCTACTTGGTAAGCTGAGGTGGAAGGACTGCCTGAGCCCAGGAGGTCGAGGCTGCAGTGAGCCATGATCATGCCACTGCACTCCAGCCTGGGCAAGAGTGAGACCCTGACTCAAAAAAAAAGAAAAAGAAAAAGATGACCTCATCTCTCCCACATCACTAAGAAACCAAACCAGTAGGCGAGTTCTTTCAGCAGCCCCTCCCCACCTCCACCCCGCTTCTCGCACCTCAGTCCTTCACCCTTCCCTTGCCAGGCCCCTCTCTAGGACCCCCACCCCCTCAGGCTCATATTCTGAGAACACTCCAGGCCCTGGCAATGGGTCTCAACTGCATCGTCAGCGCTACTGTTCGCCAACCTCAGCACCACCTTCTAGTCAACAAGACTTTACCACTCATCTTTTGGGCTTTGAGCTTCCCTGTCCCTGCTCTTTGGCTGGGCCTGTCCCAGTAAGCAGTCGTTCCCTCCCACAAGCTCCAGCCCCTCCAGACCCGCCCACCTCTGAGGGCCTGGGTCAGACACCACCCGCTTCCAAAAGCCTCGTCCACCCTAACGCAGCCTCTCGCCCTTCAGCAAGCTCCTCGGCACTCAGGTGGCTGGCTGTTACTCCATCACGGGTGCCTCTCATGACCCGAGACCGCTGGGGCTGGCTCCTGGCTATACCCACAGTGTCCACACTGTGTCTTTTTCACCAAATACAAGCTGCTGCTTAGACAAGCAAGAGAAAGAATAAAGGAAGGAAGCAAAGGGTGTTGAACCACAGGCTGTCAGTGCCTGCCTGGAGCCTCCAAGAGCTCTGACCCAGATGCCGGGGGTGTGAGGATGGGCTTGTGCTGGGTGTGGGAAACCACGCCAGGTCCCCCAACACGAAGCCAAGGGCTCCTGAGGCCAGAGCAGTCAACAGCCTCATGACTCAGGCCTCTGTCTGCCCTGTTCAGGGTGTAGAGGTGTCAGTCAGGCTCCTTCCACCACATGGACCATGCCCAAGAGAAGAAAGGACCTGACGTCCACCTGGTCAGGGCCACCTCTGCAGGGAAAGGCCAGTTCCTCACACCCCTCCCTGACGTGCAAGCTCAGGCGCCATCTGCTGGCCAAGGTTAGCACTGCCACTGGAACCACAGCCCCAAGGACAGGGGACCCAAGGCTGAGACCATCCCCAACCCAGTCCAGGCCCCAGTGGCTCTTGGGGCAGCAGAAATAATCCCACCGCCTGGAGGATGGGCTCCTGATTGCCTCCTGAAAGCTGTTTTTCAGAACATAAGCCTAGCCTCCAAATAAAGGGGGGAAAGTACATTTCTTTCTGGTAACACTAGCTGAGAAACTTCCAAGACACACACACACCTGCTTCCTTTTTTCTTTTTCAGTCTCTGTCACCTAGGCTGGAATGCAGTAGCACACTCACAGCCACCCCAGTATCCAGCTGCTGGGCTCAGGCGATCCTTTGCCTCAGCCTTCCAAGTGGCTGGAACTACAGGCGTGCACTACCACACCCAGGTAATTTTTTATTTATTGTAGAGATGTCTCGCTGAATTTATTGTGAAGATGTTGCCCGCGCTGGTCTCGGACCCGCAGGCTCAGGCCTTCCAAAGTGCTGGGATTACAGGTAGAGCCACCAAGCCTAAGCCAACCCCGTGCTGGGACAGCGCACGGCCCTCCCTGCCACACTGATGACCAGCTGCTGTCCAGGGAGTCTGACTGATCTGGAACTGAATGTGAGTGGGGTCTAGGGTACTACACCCTCAGTCTCATCCCCCATCCCCTCCAGGGACACCCACAGGGCCAGCACCTCCTGCCTGGGACAGGAAGAGGCCTGAGGACACTGGTGACTCTCTAGGCTGCTGCGGATGGGAAGCGTTCTCAGGGGCATCGGAAGCAACCACTTGAGCTGGAGCACCCATCTGAGTCCTCACCATCCCGCCCACCCAAGGCCTCGTCACCCCGCCCCCTCTGCAGCTGAGACTGCGCCATCTTAGAGCCAGGAGCCTCCAGTCCACTCAAGGAAGACCCTGAGAAGACAGCGATGTGACAGACCACCCTTCAGCACACTCCTGAAACCAGGATGACACAGAACTCTCCACAGAAGGCCCTGGTGGGTGTGACGCCCAGGAGGATCAGGCCCCCTCAAACAGCATCCTCGGGCGAGACTTCTCCCCAGAAGTGTCCCGGGAGGGGCAGGAGGAGGAGGGACGTGTCAAGTGAGTGACTTTCTCCGCCCTGACACCCCCCACTCGCACCTACCCGGCTTCCCACATGGCCCCGCTCCCCTCCCTCCACCCACACACAGGGAGAGTCTGTCACCGGGAAACAAGTGCTATCTTCCCAGAAGGGAGGAGAAGGCAGGGGGAGCGAGGACCTGGGTCGTTGCCTGTAGGGCGCTGGCAAGAACCCAGAGCTTTCCAAAGGTGCTCTGCCACACCCACCCCCACCACCCCTCCCCCGCCCCCGAGCCATGACCTTAACCTGAGCCTCCCTTTCCCAGGGGGCTGGAGAGGCACTCCAGGGCAGGAGGCACATGCCCACCATGGTGGAGGCTGGAGAAGAGACCTGAGGCTGCAGGCGACATCCCTGGGCCCAGCAGCCTTCGGCCAGCTGGGTGGGCCACCGGGACCGCTAGCACCCCAAAATTCCCATCTCGCTCCACCCTGGCTTGAAGGTAGCCACCGTCCTGCCCCTGCCCCACCGCCTCCACTGCTCTCCAGACTGGCTGGCCTCCAAGGGTTAACCTCCTGCTGCCGCCCCCTCCCTTGTACCCACCCCAGGGGAGACGCCACACGCCAGCAGTGATGCGTGTCACACGGTTATTACAGTGATTTATTTAGTTTTAATTTGGGGGTGAATCTCATGCTTTTGGAAGCCGGAGGCCAGCCGTCTTGGCAAGAGGCGAAGCCAGGCGTGGGCCAGCACCATGTCAATCTGGCCGCTCTGCCTGGGGTCCCTCCTCCCAACCCTGCTCCTCTTGGCTGGCGGCCTGCTCCCTGACTCCAGCCCAGGTCGGGTTTAACTCCCACCCAGAGTCTCTCCCTTTGGAGGAGATGCCCCGAGCGGCAGAGGAGTCACAGGCCAGGCGTTTCCAGCCTCACCTCCAGGCGACCTGCGCCCCTCCCAGCCAGGCTATCACTGAGGAGTGAGCCATCTATGATGGATGCTGGGCACCTGGGACCAGCTCCACATTAAGGACCAACGGACCGGGCCAACTCCACGCAGATCAGGAAAAATGGGACCAACTAGTCTTTGTCCACCCCTGCTCTCAGCCCTGCCCCACGTGGCACGAGGACGCGGTGCCTGGTTCATCGTTGTCTCCTTAACAAGCCCTGGACCCTGCTGCAGATGCAGAGCAAAGGACCATTGTGGTCTTCATCCTCCAAGACTTCACGACGCACAGAGGAGCCCCTAGACACAACTGGCCAGCCACATGGTGCCCAAGTACAGGGAACAAAGATCTTCAGCGCCCAAAGGAGGGACAGGAGAGGACTGGCCCACAGAGACGCACAGAAGACTTTCTAGAAGAACTGGGTCTGGACGGGAAACCCAGCACTCAGCACCCAGCACCCTCCCTGGCATTTGCGGGGCAGATGGACAGATGGACGAATGACTTGGAGCACTGGACAGAGAACAGAGTACGGACATTCCAGGCAGACGGCAGACCTTGGACACAGGCACCGAGGAGCAAGAGGGCACAGTGAGCCTGGGACAAGCAGCACATGGGATCAGAACACAGGCAAGTAACAACAGGAAGAGCAACCAAGGCTGATATCGTTGACTACTTGTTCCACATCAGGTACTATGCTAAGTAGTTGCTACTCACTACCCTTCTAATCCTCACAGCAACCTAATGATTATCTCATTTTACAGAAGAGGAAGGTAAGCTATCCAGAGGCTCAATCATTTGTGCAATATCCAAGCTCCTGGCTCCAAAGCCCAAACTCCAGCAACAAAGCCACTACCCCCCACAAAGCTACAGTGGTGGGTTGAAACCAGATGGGTGGGACCTTGAAAGGCCTGCTCCCTGGGCGTGGTGGCTCACGTCTATAATCCCAGAACTTTGGGTGGCTGAGGCAGGAGTATCACTTGAGGCCAGGAGTTTGAGACCAGCATGGGAAATATAGCAAGACCTCGTCTCTACAGAAATTTTTAAAAATTAGCCAGGTATGTTGGCATGTGCCTGTAGTCTCAGCTACTTAGGAAGCTGAGATGGGAGGATCCCTTGAACCCAGGAGTTCGAGGCTGCAGTGAGCTACATTCATGCCACAGCACTCCAGCCTGGGTGACAGAGTGAGACCCTATCTCAAAAAAAAAGGAAGCTTTGCTAAGGCTTTAAACCTTCAATAAAGCATTAAACCCTCCGTAAGTAATAGATATTTTTAGGGTGAGCCTATAATATGAATCATATAGGCTGCAGGTCAAAAACAGTCAAGTATGGCCCATTTCATATGGTTCAACTAATATTTTTTACTGAAGGCCACTGAGGTTCCTTCTAGCCTCCTTGATTCCAGCACTGGCAGTCACTGTGACATTTGGTTCTGTGCCACCACGGGCTCCCTAGCACCCCAGGCCCCACGGCAAGAACTCTGTCAGGACCTCTTCCAAAGCCCAGGTACGCCCAGGTACACCCAGGCGGCAGCGGTACCTCCTTGCCCAGGTCCTCACGGATGACCTGGCGGACCTCTTGCATGCTGCTCTGTGGGGCCTGGCTGTGCAGCACCTTCAGCGTGCTGGTGTACTCCTCGGGCAGCAAGTAGTCCAGGGCCCCCAGGTGCTGGCCCACCTTGATGAAGGTGCCCCGGTTGGCACAGCAGAGCTCACAGAGACGCTGGGCAGAGCGAAGGTGCACCTGCAGGGAGACGGGCAGGGCCCAAGAGTGTGAATGCAGGTGCTCCTGGACCGGGGTCCTCTCTCCCGCCCCCTCTGCTTGAAAACCTCCACTCATGCTCTGGCATGCAAGATGGATGTGCACACACACACACACACACACACGTATGTGCAAGCACACACACCATCTCCCTTCGCCTGCTCCCTCGGTGCCCTCCTTCAGTCTCCTGCAGACTCATCTGGTGGCCAGTCTTCACACATGGCTGGGTGCTTCTGACCACCTCCTCTCCACCAAAACTTACCTGGTCTGTGTCCTACTCCCTAGAAATTTGTGTTCAAGACTTTTAACCAAGTCTAATGACTCATTCAAGGTCCACTGTATTAACATATTCACCAGCCACTGTTCAGACATACTAATGATACTTTATGATGGCTCTCTACAACTTATAAAACATGGTCGAAAGCCTTATAGCCCTTAATTTTTGGCCAGGCATGGTAGCTTATGTCTGTAATCCCATCACTTTGGGAGGCCAAGGCGGGAGGATCACTTGAGGCCAGGAGTTTGAGACCAGCCTGGGCAACACAGCGAGATCTTGTCTCTACAAAAAATTTTAAAAACTGACCAGTCATGGTGGGGTGTGCCTGTAGTAAGTCCTAGCTACTTGGGAGGCTGAGGCAGGAGGATCACTTGAGCACAGCAAGTCAAGGCTACAGTGAGCAGTGATCACACCACTGCACTCCAGCCAGGGCAACAGAGCAAGATTCTGTCCCTAAATAAATAAATGTTCATAGCAGCTCAGGGAGGCAGGTGTTAGTATCTTTAAAGAGGAGAAACTAGTTGTTTTGTTTATAAAGAAATAGCTAAGATTCAACCTGAGGCCCAGGGATTTAGGGGAAAAAAAGACAAAGAAATAGCTAATAAATGTCAAAGGAAAGTCTAGAAAGCTCTGCAGACTAAGGCTCTTTCAGTGCAGTGATCTTCAGCAGTGGTATCCTGTCAACCAGAGGAATTGTGGTCCTGGGGGGTGTGAGGCCCGTGGAGCAGCAGTGGGCAGGTTGTCCAGGACAGAGCAGGCTTCACTGGCTTCCCAACACCCACCTATCCTTCCAGACCTGCAGGTGGTCCCATCTGCCTCCCAGGCTGGGCTCCCACAGTCACCGCCCTGGCACAGCTGGGGGTCTTGGCAGTAGGAGGCCCCTTCCTTTCAGGAGCTACAGCCTTGAGGCAGGATGGGACCATGGGCCTCTACAGAAGGCAAGGATTCCTGTTGGGACTCCTGTCAGCCCCCAACAAAGTCAATGAAAAGAGAGTGAAGCACAATGCTGGACTTACACTCCAAGTGCCACAAAGGAAGCCAGCGTCATTAACACAGAGCAAGGGTGATGAAACATGTGAGGACTTGGTTGACAACAAAGACTGAAGAAGTGCTCAAAGACCCTATATAATCAGTTGCCAAGTGAACCCCACAGGAAAACACTACTTTAGAAATTAAGAAGAGATTTTTTTAGCTTTCACATATAAGAGAGAATGTGCAATACTAGGCGGAGAGAGTGAAAAAACAGAGAACAGAGATGGGGAAGGGGCCTGGAAGTGTGAAGAGAAGTGGCTTAAGAGTACAAACATGCAATAAAGTAGAAGGAATTAATTCAGTGTTTGATAGCAGAGTAAGGTGACTACACTTTTAAAAATGGCACCAGGCACAGTATCTCATGCCTGTAATCCCAGCATTTTGGGAGGCTGAGGCAGGAGGATTGCTTGAGCCCAGGAGTTTGAGATCAGTCTAGGCAGTATAGTGAGACCTCATCTCTACAAAAATCAAAAAATTAGCCAGGCATGGTGGCACACGTCTGTAATCCCAGAGACTAGGGTGGCTGAAGTGGAAGGATTGCCTGAGCTACAGGAGGTCGAGGCTGTGGAGAGCCGTGATCATGCCACTGCACTCCAGCCTGAGTGACAGAATGAGACTCTGACTCAAAACAAAAATGGCTAGCCGGGCTCGGTGGCTCAGCCTGTAATCCCACGCCTTTGGGAGGCTGAGGTGAGTGGATTGCCTGAGCCCACGGGTTCGAGATCTGCCTGGGTAGCGAGACCTCATCTCTACAATAAGTAAAAAAATTAGCCGGGCACGGTAGCAAATGGCTGTAATTCCGGCTACTTGGAAGGCTGAGGCGGAAGAATCGCCGGAGCCCAGCAGGTCGAGGCTGCGGTGGCCAGAAGCGGCCACTGCACTCCAGTCTGGGCGACAGAGTGAGACTCCAACTGAAAAAAAAAAAAAATGGCTTGTACTTGGGTGATGGATACCCTGAATACCCCAACTTGATCACTACTTATTACATACATAAAAATAATTTCTCACATACCCCCAAAATTTGCACGAATTTTAAAAAAGAAGAGACTGCTGCAGCCCTGAACACCACCCTCTCCCCCGGCAGCCAAGGGGCCCATCAGTCTGCCCCCCACCATAGCAGGGCAGACGCCCCAAGCTCCAGGCACTAGTAGCTGTCCTGAGGTCCTCAAGGGCCCATCCACTTCTGGCTCAGCTGGACATCTCTACCTCCCACTCCACCTATTCTCAGGGATCTCTATGTTCACGACTCCACCTTGCTGGGCAGTCCGCCAAGGTAATGTGGATACCCGGTCCAGGCTGAGCCAATGGGAACTTTTTTCTCCTGGGAGGAGGGTACAGCAAGAAGGAAACTAATTCTGAGAGAGAGAATCCTGAGATGAGTCAAAGGGTCAAGGGAGGTGGGATTCTCTTAGGAACTCAAAACTGGGGACTCAGCTGGCTAGTGTCGGATGATGGAAGGTCACGCAGAGTGGAGTAGAGTCCGTGCCAGGGCCAAGAAGCGACGAGTGAGAAGTAAGGCAGACGTGGCCAAGCATGGAGCCAGGTGTTTCCCTGCAGTGAGTACTAGGGCTCAGGACGTCACGCACCAGCAACTTTTTGCAGCTCACGCAACTGACCTCCACCTCTAACCCAGCAGGAGAAAACACACAGCCGACAGCAGACTAAGCAGCAACCAGCTATTCACAATAGCGGAAACATGGAACCAACCCTGCTGCCCACCAAAAGGGGGCAGGATAAAGAAAATGTGGTACATGTACATGATGGAGTATTATGCAGCCATAAAGAACACAATCATGTCCTTTGCAGCAACACAGATGCAGCTGGAGACCATCACACTAAGTGAACTATCACACAAACAGAAAAGTGAATACTGTATGTCCTCACTCACAGGCTGGCTCGCTGGTCACACAAGCACAAGGGTGGGAACAAGAGATGCTGAATTCTGCTAGGGGAGGGAGAGACGAGGGAGAAGGAGCACACAACCCACACTGGGTATCAGGTCCACTATCAGAGGGAGAGAGGGCCCACCAGATGCCCAAACTACACCTGCATGCAACTTACTTATGAAGTAAATCCTCACATGTGCCCCACAACTCTAAATTAAGTTGAACTAAATTTTAAAAAGAGGCAGCCCAAAAGGTATCCAGGAGGCATGAGTCCTAGGCACTGGTGTGGGCAGAGCATAGACCCCTCCCGCAAACCCCTCCCACAAGGGCTGCCCTGGCCCCCAGCGGTCCACCCACTCAAATGCCACCTCAGAGCTGTGCCAGGGACCAGCTAGGCAGCTGTCACCATCACCTCCAAAAGGAAGCAGAGGACGGGAGGGAGAGATGAGGACACACCCCACTTGCTCCTCCCCTTCAGTAGAGATATCCACCACAGATTCCCTGGGGAGTTACTATGGGCCTGGTCCTGTGCCCTTGACTATCTGGGGCGACCCCACAGAGCCACTCATGTAACAGACTGACCCATGGCAGCAAAGGGGCACAGGACTAGGTATTGGGGGAACTCAGAGGTGAAAGAAACAAGAGGGCTAGAACTGGAGGAGAAAGCTGATTCACAGGAGGGGGAATGAGGGTGTGCTGGCTATGAATATATGGCCTGTCCATGCCAAAAACAATTTTTTTTTGAGTCTCCCAGGCTGGAGTACAGTGGCGTGATCATAGTTCACTGCAGCCTTGACCTCCCAGGCTCAGGCAATCCTCCTGCTTCAACCTCCTCAGCAGCTGAGACTACAGGCATAAGCCACCATGCCTGGCTACTTTTTTATTTCTTTTTTGTAGAGATGAGGTCTTGCTATGTTACCCAGGCTGGTCTCAAACTCCTGGGTTCAAACCATCTTCCAGTTCCAGCCTCCCAAAGTGCTGGGATTATAGGCGTGCAACACTGTGCCCAGCAAAATCCACTCTTCTTTGCCCTGCTTTGCAATGCCGGTGCCGGGCCCTGTGTTCTCTCTCCTTATGGGTAGCTGGGCATCAAGCTTTGTTCATGGGGGGCTCCGCAGGGACACTGTGAGGCCACAGCAGAAGCCGAGGGTCTCTCTTGCTGATCCCAGGGCACCATTTCCAGAGAGGACAGCCAGGAGATCAGTGGCTGGTCATGCCCTCTTCAGAAGTCCCACAGGCCAACTGTGCCCACGCCCTCAAATGTCTCCACCACCCAGCAGTCCCCTCCCTCCAGCAGGTGTTCTGACCACCCACAGGCCGTCCCTCCAGAAAGACTCTGGCCTCACCCTCATGAGTGTCTCAGACCCCAGCAGGCTGCTCCCATGAGCCAGCTCTGGCTCCGCCCTCCCGGTCTCCCAGCCACCAGCCTGCCCAGGGCTGCCCCACCCGTGCCATAAGCCCCGACCCTCAGTCTCGCCGGTGGGGGGGGGTCCCTGCCAAGTCCTTCATTCCATCCTTGTTCCCTGTTCCTCGACCCTAGAAGAAACAGCTGCTTTATGCATCTGCTGCTTCTGTACCTTAGAACCTTTTCTTGCTCCTTTGAGGAATTAACCACCTTCTACCAGTTAATAATTCTATTAAATTTTCCCTGTTCAAATTGTTTGTGTGACTGGACCCTAGCTGGTATGCAGGGTTAAACCCCTGAAATTACATTTGAATATTGTAAGATGAAAAAGGAAGATATTTGAGACCAAGAGAACCATGTAGCAAAGGTACACATGCATGTG